CTGCTGAAGAATTTGGACAAGGTTCTTAATATGCATTGTAACATCTCTTGGTTTCTTTGTCTAAAAAATGAAGAAAATAAAATGTTGGCAAAGTGTCAGCCTCCAAACAAGCTATTTGTTGGTAAGAAGTTACTTCTGACCAAGTTCCATCTTCATAAGAAATCTTATCCTAAACATTAAAATTCATGATAACTTGACTCAAGTAACAAATTCAGGTGATTTTAGAAAATTAATATATCACTTATAGGCACCACTTTTGCAAGTCATTTAAATATCATAAAAAATTGTCCTTGATGGTATTACCAGTGTCATAAGAAATGATATTATCCCATCTTTCATGTCATAACTCAGGGGAACACCTTTACCCTTGTCAAACAACTTACTTCAATATATTCCCTTTAAAAAAAAGGGTTTTAAAAAATATGTTTTAGATTTTCCCTAACTCTAAATCTTGTGTAATATACAAATTCACTGCTCCTCAAGAAATTTAAAGAGAGAGAGACAAAATAATACCTGGCCTGACTTTTTCTCAAGGACTAATATTCCTTAATATTTATTTATCTTTTCGTACATTATTTAAAATGTATGGCTTTTCTACACCCTGAAATCACCAAATAATTTTATTTTATTTATTTATTTATTATTATTATTATTTTTTGCGATACACGGGCTTCTCACCGTTGTGGCCTCTCCCACTGCGGAGCACAGGCTCCGGACGCGCAGGCCCAGTGGCCATGGCACAGGGGTCCAGCCGCTCCGCGGCATGTGGGATCCTTCCGGACCGGGGAACGAACCCGTGTCCCCTGCATCGGCAGGGGGGGGGGGGGGGCCGGGCGCGCGTGCGTGCGTGCGCGTGCGTGCGTGTGCGTGCGTGTGCGCGTGCGTCTCACACACCCGCAGCGGTGGGCGGTGCTGGGCCTGGGTCTCCCGCCTCCAGAATCTCCACCTCAAGTCAGGCCGGGATCATTTCAGACCCCACTAGAGCCGTGTTCAGCCCAGGATCCCGGCAAGGGTGAGTTTTGCCCTCTCCTCTGGGGGAGACCTGCAGGTGCCCTGCCATGACGCACTCAGGCAAGCTTCAGCTCTCTTCTTTCAGAAGGAAGGTGAGGCTGGAGGGCTGACCTGAGACTTAGAGGAAAGAGCGTTTTACAGCTTGTATTTTAAAAAAATTACCAACACCGCCATGAAGTGAAAGCAGCCGCAGTAAATCCAAGAAGGAAGTGTAGAAGTCAGACCCTTGTCACCCCCAGGAGATCATTCGTGAGCCACCCTGGGAGGGTCTGAGCTGATTCTTTGTGTAGATTTATACGCGGAGAAATCAGCCTGTACCTGGGGCTCTGGCGTTCCCACGAGGGAGGCCGTGGCTCTCTAATGGGGAAGCGGGTCCCTTCCATCCTCTCTCCACATCCTCAGCTGTCAACACAGCATCCGCCTTGTGGGACTGTTAATTACTGCCTTTTATTATATTTACGCTGCTTAATTTTTTTCTCTGCAGTGTACTCTTCCCTCTAATTAGGTGTAGTGATTAGAATCTCTTTTATGTGCCAGGCATGAGGCCTTGAATGTCGGAGGCGCTCAGTGACTTGAAGGAAAGCTGCAGACCTACTGTAAAAAGCTAGCTCCCTCCTTTTCCTCCCCGCCAGCTGAGCACCCCAACTGGGAGGGGGCAGCGGGGGCAGTGTGAAGCCAGGTTCCTCTTGGAACGTTCCAGAGAAGGAGGAATTAACAGTCACAAAGGGAGTCCTGACTCGGGGATACCAGGGGAGGGCCTTGGCTTCTAGCTCGGGAGAGGCTGTGTCACGTGGGTGGGAAGAGAGATGATAGAGCAAAGGACACGTAGGATTCACCTTGAAAGTGTTTTCCAGAGGCGCCCCGAGCTGGCTCTTGAACGCTGAAAGGGCAGTCTGGGTCCAGGGAAGGCGACTTCCCGAAGCCTTGACGGTGAGTCAGGCCGTCGGCCACATACAGACTCCGAAGAGGCCCAGCCTGGCCCCCGCCCAAGGCCCGACCTTTGGATATATAAACACACACACATGCGTGCACACATGCCCACAGACACTCACTGACGCACACTCAGGTGGTCACTCATCCCCTCACACTCACCTTTGCACGCATGCCCATGCACGCATTCCCACAAACACACACACGTGCGTTTCTCACTCAGCCCACACGAGTTCTCATCAGGGTTTTTGGTGACGGTACATGCCAGAAAGGCTCACTGACTCCCCTTTCACACATATTGGTGTAGGTTCCACTCAGATGTGTTAGGGTTACTCTACCTTCGGAGTCACTTTTCTTGACAAGGTCCCCCCGCGTCAGTGTGAGCAGAGATGCAGAAAGAGAGCAGCACAGGAGGGGTCTGCAGCAGCCTCTCCAGGGGTCCTGGCGCCATCCCCGTTGTCAAACCAGAACCACTGGTATCCTCAAGGCCCGGAGACCCAGGGTCCCCAAGCAGGAGGTCAGCACCGCAGGGTGTGGTGGGGTCCTGCCGGCAGCAGCTGGGCGGCCGCGTTGTGGTCACGTCGTCAGCAGAGACCGCTGCGTGCAGGGCTGGCTTTTCGAGGGCCCTGGAGCTACACTGGGCTTGTGAATTCCTTCTGAGCCCACAGAGTAGTTTTTCCTTATTCTTGTCTATGTAAATAGAAAGAAGTATTATTTAGTCAATATCCACTGGCTGTCCTTTGCAGGCATGTATTAATCCATCTTGTGTGTGTGTGTGCGTGTGTGCTTGCATGCATGTGTGTACATGTGCATTTGCGTGTGCTAAGGGAAAAAAATGGGAGAAGGAAGGGCTGAGCACATCACCTCTGACAGCCTCCCAGGGTGGAGGGCTGTACCCAGGACAGAGAGTGATCACACGGCTGTGTAACAGTGGGTCCGTGTGTGGAACTTTCTCAGGGGCCGGGGGGTGGTCTTGCAGCTTCGTGACCATGCCAGAGGCCTGGGCTGTCTCCGCAGACAGCGGTACCTATGTGCAGATCATAATTCACCATCGAGTAGCATGACCTTGAGAAAGGAAAGACAGAGAGACCCCCTGCATATTTATCCAGAAGGGATATATCAGTGGGGCAAGAGCCCTCACCTGGCCCCATCTGGTGGTTTGACGGCTCCGGTAAGCTACGTGGCCAAGAGCTGGGACTTCGGAAGAAATAGTTCTTAACTCCTGTGAGGGAACCCACCGTAAAACACGGAATCGGAAACGGACTCTCCATCACTGGGACCGCCCCCGTCACTCCCTCTGTCCTTCGATATCACCCCTAACCCCCAGCATATTTTGCAAGCCAAAGCCCTCATCTTCAGAGGGGGAGGCCCTCCTGGCCCCAACAGCAGCTCAGCTCTGTGGACAGCCTGCCCCCCATTCATGTTTTGGAAGGGATTTGGCCCAAGACAAGCTTCCTTGTGCTGCATCTTTCTCCCATACCTACGTCGCTCACCTCAGCTACGTAAAACATCCCCCTCCTCCTCACTCCTGCGCTACTCGCTACTCGGGTCCACTGTGCAGGTCTCCGGGGGCCTGGGAGAGGGTTCTGAGTGTTCCGAGGCGGCGTAGCTCTTGGGCCCCATCCAGCAGTCTCACGGGCTTGTCTTTGTGCCAGCCTTTGCCGAGCTGCAGACGGACATCCACGAGTTGACCAGTGACCTGGACGGAGCTGGGATTCCCTTCCTGGACTACAGAACCTACACTATGCGAGTGTTGTTCCCAGGAATTGAAGACCACCCTGTCCTCCGGGACCTCGAGGTGAGAAGCGGTTCCTGTGGCCAAGTCCTTTCCCACTGTGGTGTTTATGCAGAGAGAGACAGTGGTGACCAAGTCCAGCTGCCTCATTCAGAGGGTCAGCTGAGGCCAGGGAGGGGACGAGACTTGCCCAAGGGGTGGTGCCAGCTTGCCCCGCCATTGCTGCCAGCCCGTCCTTCGGGAGGAAAGGGAACTCAGAGCAGAGGTGGGAGTAGGGCTTTGGGTCTTAGGGGGTCATAAATCCCTTAAGAACTGGATGGAAGCTGAAGACCCTCTACTCAGAAAAACTGTCCATAGACACAGAAACGGGAAGTCTGGCAAACAATGTAGGAAGTTCACGGACCCTTGTTTAAGAAACCACGATATAAGGGACTTCACCGCTTAGTTGGTGCTCAGTAAATAAACGTGGGAAAGCTAAGGGCTGCACTCAGGACGAAGGTGGGAATGTGAATGATAAGAACATCACTGCCTTTGTACCAGCAGGGACCTCATCTTGTGAACATTTTTACCCCACTTAGTGTCTAGCATAGTATCTGGCTTAAGCATATATTCATATTATGCTTTGTTCTAAAAGGGATTTGGAATGACTTATAAATACCAGAGAAATGCGAAAAATATAAATGAGGAAACCAGGGCACAATAATAATCATAAGGAATAATTACCCTGAGTTGACTGTTGACTAACATCCTGGTCCAGTTTTCAGTACTTTACACATGTGCATTGATTTAACCTCCCAAGAGCCCTCCGAAGCAGGTGCACCCATTTCACAGGTGAAAAAACTAAGGCCACACAACTGGGAAGGAGTGGGGCAGGGATCTGAGTCCAGCAGGGAAACTCCAGAGTCTATATTCCTAAGGACAAGCCTGTGCACGTGACTTCTGAGGGGCTGTGTCCATGTCATGCCCTACGGCTCTGGAGACTTATTTGGATGGATCAAAAATCTTTGGCCAAAACACCACGGAAAATAAGACTGATTCCATATTTATATTGTCCGTAACATAGAAACGGACCTGTCACTCCGGAGTTGCACAGTTAAGCAGGTACTGACCCCCTGGGAATGTCTGCATGGGTTCTCCAAGGGGACATAGAGGCTGTGTCCCTCTGCAGGAAATGCAGCAAGCCCCCAGGGCCCTTGGGCACCCCCCCCCACACACACATTTCTCCAACTTGATTGTGGAATGAAAATTGTGTGTGTGTGTGTGTGTGTGTGTGTGTGTGATCTTTGTGTAGACTGTGCATGCCTTATTTATCTTTGTAATTCTGGCTTCCAGCAGAGTGCTTGGCACATAGTAGGCATGCAGGAAGTGTTGGATGATTTGAATAAATGAACGTCTGTGTGTCTGCCTGAATTAGGGTGGAAATGGCAGTCCTAGGAAGGCAAGTTGTGTTTGAACATCCCCACACCCCTCAAAATTAGAACTCAACTAGGATGAGTATGTAAAGTTATTCTCTCTTTTTCATTAGCTCAAAATTCCAAGTAGATTTGCTTTAAGCATTTAACCTTTTTTTTTTTTAACATCTTTATTGGAGTATAATTGCTTTACAATGTTGTGTTAGTTTCTGCTGTATAACGAAGTGAATCTGCTATACGTACACATATATCCCCATATCTCCTCCCTCTTGCATCTCCCTCCCACCCTCCCCATCCCACCCCTCTAGGCGGTCACAAAGCACCGAGCTGATCTCCCTGTGCTATGCGGCTGCTTCCCACTAGCTGTCTATTTTACATTTGGTAGTGTATATATGTCCATAAGCATTTAACTTTTAAATCAGATTTTCTGAGACCATTTCCAAGCTGGCATCCCTGCAGGGCAGCCCGAATACTTTGGAGCGGGCTGGGAGACAGCCTTCTCCCACACAAGGTGTTTTCTTGATGGACACACACACGCTCCACACTGCTTTCCCAACCAGTCCTATGGCCCATATTGTAACTCATGCCATCGTATGGTCTTGTTTCTCATTTGATCCCGTTTATCGTATGGCTTTTTCCCACCTGCCCTTGCATCTCCATAGGTGTTTAGATTCTCAGGCCTGACTTGGCACTGACGTAGCACACACCCAAGGGCAGTGCACTCGCAAGGGCCGCCCAGGGCGGTGGAGGGGAGCTCCAGGGCTCATCCTCCCACAGGATGCTGTGGGAGGGTGCAGGTTGAACACGGCATCGCTTCAGACGGCACCGACCATATGCGTCACTTCCTGGACGCGTGCAGTGCACGACCTGCCTCACTGTCTCTAGCAGCCCTCTTTGCCCGAGACCAGCATCCTAATGATTCCCTCTCATTGCCTTTCTGAACTGTACCAGGCCCCTTGCTGAAAGCTGGTGGCATCCCTACCCAGCGGCACTTCCCTGGGCCTTTCCTCTAGGGCTAGTTTTCTGAGAGAAACTGCTGCCCAACTCCTAGCCTTAATCCTCAGCAAGGTGCACAGCCCAGGAGCCCTGCCCAGCAAGCTGGGCTCAAAAGACAGAAGCCCTGGGCACCCTCAGAGCGCTGCTCGGAGCCAGCTCCCTCCTCCACTGTGTGCTGCCCCGGCCCTGCCTGCCTTGTTCCCAGATACCTGAGGTACCCCTCACCGGAGGCTTCTGGGGCTGCAGAGTGAACTGCAGCAGACTCCTACCCCTGCCCAGACAGCTTCAGGAGCCCTTGTTCGGTACGGTCCAGAGACCCACAGTGTCTTCACTTCACTGGGACACCGCCCACCCCGCAGGCTGGACACACACTCACTAGGGCACGTCCAGAGCTGCACCACCAGGAGTCCCTGACGCCCCTGTCCCGCCCATCGGTCAGGGGCTGTGGGATGAACTCAGCCCTTGGAGGGCTGCCCAAGAAAGCCTCTGAGAATCGGGGCTGCTGGGGTCTGATGATTACCTGACCAGCCTGTATGACTCCCCAGATGCTCCCTGGGTGGACACCTCACCTCTGCCCGAGACTGTTCCCATGGCCCCCGTTACAAGTCACATCACGTCCTACTGTGGCCTGATTCCTCATCTGGCACGTTAAAATTTCCCCTCAAACCTGAGGCTTCTCTCTTGTCCTTGCCTTTATCATAAGGGGAGACTTTCTCTTCCCATCCTTCTGCTCAGGATGGAGTTAACAGTCAGCTTCACCGATTTCCCTGAGTTGGAGACCACGAGACAGCTAACTGTCAGGCATGGGCTCTGAATCAAGCAGGTCACACAGATTTTTTTAAGTTCTGGTAAAATGTACATAACATAAAATTTACCATTTCAGCTGTTTTTAAGTGTACAGTTCAGTGGCGTTCAGTTCACTCACATTACCGTCCGTCACTACAGTCTATCTCCAGAACTTTTTCATCTTCCCAGCTGAAACTCTGTACCCGTTGAACAGTAACTCCCCATTCCCCCTCCCCTGCAGCCCCTGGCAGCCACCATTCTACTTTCTGTGCCTATGAACTTGGCTAATCTGGGTACCTCATATAGGTGGAATCATACAGTATTTGAACCTTTGTGACTGGTTTATTTCCCTTAGTAAAATGTTTTCAAGGTTCATCCTTGTTGTACCATGTGACAGAATTTCTTTCCTTTTAAGACTGAATAATAGCCCATTGTGTGTATAGACCACATTTCATTTATCCATTCATCTGTCTATGGATACTTGGGGTGCTTCCACCTTTTGGCTAGTGTGCTAATGCAGCTCTGAACATGGGCGTACAAATATCTATTTGAGCTCCTGCTTCCATCTTTTGGGGCGTATACCTAGAATATAAGACTTTTTCATTTCCATTGAACTCATTAATTAATTTCTTACAGACAGAAATCAACTTTTACTGTCCCACATTAGCTTGGGGCTATGTGAGCTCCAGCCTCCTGTGTAAGATCCAGAGATCTTGTGTGGATGGTTCTTTTCTTACGTGTTTCCAACCTCTCCCTGCCACTGGAATAGTTTCTGTCTATTGGTTTTCCAGGTTTGGAAACGTTCCTAGGGAAGCCACTGACTAATCTAAAGCAGGGTTTGCACCTTTTCAGGCACTGGGATGGGCATGGCAGGTGCGTGTGAAGATGGGGTCCTCTGGCTCTAGGCTGTCCTGGAGGTTAGGCCACCAGGCCTCTCTTTGACCATCTGGTGCAGTCTGGGCATTTGGGTGAGGGGTTGCCCAGGCACTGATCACACACCAGTCCTTCAAAGACAGACAGCAAACAGTAACCACACACCTCGTTTTCCACCTGTATCATTGCCTCCTAAACTCTAACCTATTGGGCTACAATGAAAATTTACTATCCAGTTTTATATTCGCAGACTTCAGCTAAATTATCGAACCGTCTGGTGAATAAAGAAAGTCTTGTTTCAGGGCCATCTGCTTAGGGAGTAGGGGTGCAAGTTACAAAGGGGAACTGTTCTAGATACTCTCTACCAAGGCACTTCACTCCATCCCCTCTTCCTAAAAGGGGGAGAAAATGCCTACTTTCCACACCCAGACACTGGGCCAATGCATTAGGTACCTTGGAAACTCTGGGGCAAAAGAGGGATCAGTGAAAACAGCCAGTGGAGGAGGCCGGTAATAAAACTGCTGCTGTTTAAGTGCGCTCTGTGTGTGCCAAGCACTTTACATGCATTATCTTATTTAATGTTCTTGAAACATTATGACATAGGCACTCATATTCTCATTTTATAGATGAGGCAGTAGAGCCCGGAGGTGACAGAGCTTTCCTCCATGTACGAGTCTGTTAGTCTCTCTGATTCCAAACCCCATTCTGCTACAGGGATGCTCTTTCCC